CTAAAAAAGTTGTGTGTTTTTTTATTAAAGTCGCCCCGACGGCAACAAATCTTTAAAAATATTTAACAATCGCGAAAAACGCGCGGAACAAAGTTAAAATGCCAAAAGAATATAATTGCAAAAAATGCATCCGGGAAGACAATGACCAAATGGTGCAGTGCGATTTGTGTGATCGGTGGTTCCACTACGATTGCGTTGGGGTAAATAGCATAATAGCAGATATGAGCTGGAGTTGTAATATTTGCGAGACCTCGCAACCAGCCTTTACTGCGACGAGAACCTCTGCTCCTCCGGCAGCAAGTAACGAAACGACCACAACGATCTCGGCACAACCACAAGCGTCATCATCGCCCAGTATTGGAACATCTCGTGATACTTCTTCGGCCGCGATAAATATGGCTATTCAACAACCAACAGATTGGCCCAGTTCATCGTTGGTGAATAAGAATAAAGTCCCGATGGCATCGACGTCAGTGTCAACGATCGCCACCTCTACGGCACATCATGCAATTCCAGCAATATTACATCCAGCGAAGACGCTTGCACTCGTTGAGCAGGTTACCGCACGTCAAAACGACGAAATTGGGCCAGCGACATTGGGTACCTACCGGCCACATGTTGGGCAACATCCCATGTCATCAACAACTAACAATGCCGTTCCAATAAGCGGCGAGAATTACACTCAACAACATATGCTGCAATTGGAGCTTTTGGAAGAGGAGAAGAAAATTGAGCAGAAATATTTGCAGAGGAAATATGAAATATTGAGTCAAAGTGGCGGTTCGCTCATTGGAAATAGTCATATGACAGCCACTCCAACCCCTTCACAGCTTGCAGCTAGACAGGTGATCCCGAAAGATTTACCGTGCTTTAATGGAAATCCAGACGACTGGCCGCTGTTCATAAGCAATTATGAGAACAGCACAGAAGTTGCGGGATACACGAACGCGGAAAATCTCATGCGCTTGCAAAAGAGTCTGAAGGGCAAAGCGCTAGAGATGGTACGCTGTAAACTTCTCCTGCCGTCAATGGTTCCTGAAATAATTCAAACACTTAAAATGTGCTTTGGACGACCGGAGTATATCCTTGAATCGCTGATCGAAAAAGCCAGGCGTATTCCGCCGCCAAAAGAAAAGCTCGACTGTTTTATCGAATTCGCCTTGGGTGTGCGAAACATCTGCTCTACCATGGAGGCTTGCCATATGGAAGCACACTTAAATAATCCGATGCTGGTAAGAGAATTTGTTGATAAGCTGCCCAATCAACACAAATTGAATTGGGCTATGCAGCTACGCGATGAACGAGTGCCTGTCATGAAGGCGTTTAGCGATTGGATTTTTCTAATCGCTGAAGCTGCGAGCAAAGTAGTTCCGCCGTGTGTTTCCAAAAAAAGCGCTTCGATTAACATGCATACGCAATCGTTACGAACGGTCAACCATGGTAAGGCAACATGTTTTGCATGTAAATGTGAGGACCACAAAATCCAGAATTGTGACGAATTTAAAAAATTCAGCATAGAACAAAAGTGGGATGTAGTAAAGGAAAACAAATTATGTCGTCAATGCCTTAACGCGCACCGTCGCAAATGCTTCTTGAATAAAGAATGCGGTATCGATAGCTGCAAGTCAAAACATCATGCGCTTTTACATAAAAGCGCACCGCTAGTAAGTAATGCACCGGCAGTTCAGTCAGAACGAAATGCACCATCTCCAACAGTGAATAAGCAGTTGGTGAATACTCATACAGATGTCGAAGAAGAAACTTCACCATGTTTCCGCATTATACCTGTACGCATTTATTCGAAAACTAAATCAATAGATACCTTCGCCTTTTTAGATGAAGGATCTTCCGTCACCTTAATGGAACAAAAAATCTACGATTCGCTGGATTTGTGTGGAGTACGAGAAACATTGTGCCTTCGCTGGACTGGTGAGAACTCGCGAATTGAAAACGGCTCGATTAGAACATCGATAGAAATATCTAACGCAGACCACGGCACGAAATACAATATAAACGAAGTGCACACAGTCCAGCAGCTTGGCCTACCTAGCCAGTCGCTCAACATGGAGAAAATTGCGGAGAGGTATTCATACTTGCGCGGCCTTCCTATAAAATCGTACGAAAACGCAAAGCCAACAATCCTAATTGGAGCCAACTGCTGGAAGCTGGCCGTACCAATAAAAACTCGCGAAGGCGACTGGTTTGAGCCAATTGCAACCAAGTGTCGCCTAGGATGGACATTGCAAGGGAGTACCGCTAATTACTCTGGCCCGCAGAAATTGAATATTCATGTATGCGACTGCGAAAAAAAGTACGAAAGTCTTCATGAAGAAGTGAAGGAGTATTTCAGTCTCGAAACTTCACAAGCAAAAAAAGCTAATGTCTCCCGATGACCAAAGGGCGCTGCAGATATTAAAATCTACGTGTCGTCAACACAATACGCGGTACGAAGTAGGCTTATTGTGGAAGCAAGAGGTTGAAAAACTGCCTACTAGTTATGACAACGCACTAAAGCGCTTTATCTGTATGCAAAGGAAGTTGGCCAGAGATACGAACCTGCGACGCAACATGCAAGAACAAATCAACAACTTGTTAGTCAAGGGCTACGCAAGAAAGCTGGCAATAGACGAAATAAATATCTCAACGGATCGTGTGTGGTACCTACCGATTTTTATCGCGCTAAATCCTAATAAGCCCGGAAAGGTGCGACTTGTGTGGGACGCGGCTGCTAAGTCTAATGGAGTTGCTCTGAACGATTTTCTCGTTAGTGGTCCGGACCTTCTGAACTCGCTTACGGATGTATTAATGGCATTCAGGATCGGGCGAGTGGCTATTTGTGGAGACATCGCCGAAATGTTCCACCAGATAAACGTTAGAGATGCTGACATGCATGCCCAGCGTTTTCTGTGGAACGACAATCACGAGGAGTTGGAAAATCCGGACATCTACGTCATGCGTGCGCTTACCTTCGGTATTAGCTGCGCTCCATGTATCGCGCACTTCGTTCGTGACATAAATGCTAAAAAATACGAGAAAATATTTCCGCGAGCTGTCGAAGCCATACAAAAGTACCACTATGTGGACGACTTCATTGATAGCGTCGATAGCGAAGACGAAGCATTTCAACTAGCAATACAGGTTAAAAGAATTCACGCTGAAGCCGGATTTCACATCCGTAATTGGGCGTCGAACGCACCCGCTGTACTCGAACAACTCAGTGACGATATCCCTGCAAGTCAACTCCCTAAAGGAATGGGTCATACGGAAAAAATACTAGGTTTGTATTGGGACCCAGATAATGACGTTTTTAAGTTTATTTGCAGATTCTCTAAAATGCGACGAGATATCTTGCAAAGCGACGTGGTACCGACGAAGAGAGAAGTCCTCCAGATTTTGATGTCCATTTTCGATCCCCTTGGATTCTTAGCACATTACACCATCGGGTTGAAAATACTGTTGCAAGAAGTATGGCGCTCTTGCATCGGCTGGGACAACCCGCTGCCAGAACAGCTCTACAACCAATGGTGTCTTTGGAAGACGTTATTGCCAGCAATATCAGTCACGAGAATTCCGCGATGCTACTCGCCCCTCCTTAAAAATTCTGAGTATAACCAACTCCACACATTTGTGGATGCCGGCGAGAACGCATACGCCGCCGTTTGCTATATACGGACTCAGCTTGGTAACAAAGTCGACACCATCATAGTTGCTGCCAAATCGAAGGTCGCCCCATTGAAGCCACTATCGATACCGAGGCTCGAATTACAAGCCGCGGTAATCGGCGTGAGGTTGGCAACCACCGTCACAGCAGCGCTGCGAGTGCCGATACATGCTCGATTCTGGTGGTCGGACTCAAAAACTGTCCTCAAGTGGCTGCGAATGGATCCCAAAAACTTTAAGCCATACGTAATGCACCGCATAGGCGAAGTGCTCGAGATGACAAACGCCACTGATTGGCGTTGGGTTCCTTCGAAGTTAAATCCAGCCGATCTGGCGACAAAGTTCAACACACAGCACAGCTCCGAGTTTTGGATATATGGACCAAAGTTCCTATCATTCGAGGAGGCGGAGTGGCCGACGTGCAAAGACCTTGGTGCAGTGGAGCACACTGAGTTGCGACACTGCATTCTGCATATGACTAAAAGCACTCCTGAACAACCTCTTCTCAATGTAGAGAATTTTTCGTCATGGCGACGATTATATCGTGTGGTGGCGACAGTAATCATGTGGGCAACGAAGCTGAAAGCGGTGATCAATAAAGTAGAGACACCCCTCGTAACCCTCTGCGAGACCACGAAAAAGGCCCAGGACATGCTCATAAAGGAAGCGCAGATGAGTGAATACCTTCCAGAAATGCGAACACTAAAGTGCGGTAAGAGTATTGAGAGAGATAGTAAACTAATATCTTTAAATGCTTATATAGACGATGACGGCTTACTCAGAGCACGAGGAAGAGCCGAGAACTTGAGATCTGGCGATGCCATCATTCTACCATGTAACCATCATACCACGTTTTTAATAGTTCGCCATTACCACCAGCAAAATCATCATCAGTTTCACGAAGCTACTGTAAACACAATTCGTGAAAAGTACTATATTCCACGGCTAAGGGTGCTTTATCGAAAGGTAAGACGATTGTGTCAACGCTGCAAGAACGACGCCGCTAAACCAAACGCTCAGCAAATGGCACCGCTACCGATTGCACGATTGGCAAGCTTCGAACGCCCGTTTACCTACGTCGGTATAGATTTATTTGGCCCGATACACGTATCAGTTGGAAGACGTCGAGAAAAAAGGTGGGGTGTAATCTTTACTTGCTTGACAGTTCGTGCCGTCCACTTGGAAATCGCACACAGCTTAGATGTTTCCTCGTGCATTATGTGTATTCATAATTTTATTTCAAGACGCGGGAAGCCGCGCGAAATTTATACGGACAATGGAACGAATTTTAAGGCAGCGGAAAAGTCTCTGCGTGTAGAGTCCAGAATTATTGAAATGGCGCAAACAAAGTACGAGGATGTCATGTGGCGATTCAACCCACCCGGAGCGCCACACATGGGTGGTGCCTGGGAGCGATTGGTCCGTTCGGTAAAAGCTGTGCTTAATGCCATCTGCCCTTCATTTAAATTCACCGACGAAACGCTAAGGAACGCCTTGTGCGAAGTTGAGCTCATCATAAATTCTCGACCGCTCACGTTCGTGTCACTGGATAGCGCGGATGACGATGCGCTTACTCCTAACCATTTGCTATTGGGATCAACGGACGGCCACAAAGCGGTTTTCGACGATAAACACGATTTACGACAGCAATGGCATAAAACTCAAGACTTCGCTAATAAGTTCTGGCAGCGATGGCTGAGAGAATATGTGCCGATTTTGCAGCGAAGAGTAAAGTGGTTCAACAAGCGTGCCCCAGTCGCAGTTGGAGACGTCGTGGTCATCGTAGATGAAACTATGCCGCGAAACTCGTGGCCAAAAGGCATAATTACTGAAGTAGTAAAAGCTAAGGACGATCAGGTGCGGCGAGTGACGATTAAAACTCAAAAGACCACGCTGCAGCGACCCGCAACCAAGGTGGCAGTCTTAGACGTCAGCGGCGCCACTTAAGCAAGTCTCATCGATCTTAATTCGCTTGCTAGGGGGGGAATGTTGCCGCTAAATATGAGTACATTTACCACTTAATACTTAATAATA